TTTTTCGCTCTTTTTTATCCATATAAATAAAATTTTCACTTTTCAGTTTGAAACCTTAGTTTTGTAACCAATAGATAGAGTATGTCGAGATGTATGCGTAAAACGATTTTCATTGTTCCCGGACAAAAGTTTGCGGAGAAGATTCGAATTTGAACTCGAGAATGTTTTTGAGGGAAAAAAATTTGCTTTTTCGAAATCTTGCCTGCAGATTCTCTGCGGGGAAGCATTTTGGAGCAGAAATGTGAGTGTAAAAGTTGTTTATCATGGTTTTCTTCTATGGGATAATACTTTGCTGTCGTTAAATTTCTTAAGCTCAATCTTTAAAATTCAAAACACTCAAACTCTGCACTCCGGAGGAAAGAAAAGGCGCCTAAATTTTGGCGATACTTTCTCTTTACTTTCTGAGCTAGATGAAAGTGTCCAGAAAATCTGAGAGTCTTATTGATGATATTCTCTTTCAAAAGTTGATGTGGTACATCACCCTGTAGCTGGTGTCGGGGTTCGAAATTTTCTGGACACTTTCGTCTAGCTCAGAAAGTAAAGAGAAAGTATCGCCAAAATCTCTTGATACAAACTGGTGGAAAACCCCAAGCGGAAGAAAAAAAGACCCTCCTTAATTTAAAAGAAATTAAACTATACATACCATCAGAACTATCACTCGTTTTTTTCTCTTTTTTTGATTTTGCCCAGAGACCAATACCATTACACACAATTAAATGAAATTTATGGCCCAGACATTGGAGACGTTGAATAGATGGATCCGATTGTTCAAATGATTTCTTTACATTGGAAGCACCGTCACATGTAATTGTTCTTGTTTTTTCATAAACAACCAACTGTCTTAATTGATTTTCAATAGCTTGAGCTATATTATATCCAAAATGTCTTTCACTGAACGACGAAAAACTAATGATGGTATTTTTTAATCGAAATTTCTTGTCGACATAATGTCCCGTTAAGACTAAATAAGATACGTTACGAGCATCTGACCAGAAATCAGACGTAACTTCAAGAAAATCAACTGATCTCAATTGTTGTTTCAATTTTTGAGTTGTTGATTGTCGCAGCCGTTTCAAGTTTTTCTGAACTGTATTTCTGTGAGGTGGTCGAAATCCTAAAGAATGGTCACGGTTAGAAACAGTTGGATACTTCAAAGAAAAATGGAGTTTGAGACAAGATTCAGGAAGAACTGAAAATTGTTAGGTCGCACGGACAAAATCATAGATGTAATTTAGGATAAAAGAATATTTTTCAACATGTTTCTGTTCGAACTTCTGAGCTTTTAAAAAGGAAAAGTTGTCTCTAATTCTTATCAAAGAAATCCGTCTGACTTACCCGGAGCTATTGCATCAAACAATTCACATAGGCCAGGTTTGGAAAGATCACCAAAAGAACGACCGTCTTTCGCCACACATTTAATGGCTATTTCATTTGAACGACGTTTTCCACTTGGTGAATATTTATCTCCTGATTTTAATTTTGTATTTGGATCGGATGTTTAGGGCATGAATTCTTGTATGCCATGTTTATAAAATAAATGTTTTCTTATTCCAGTTGTATTTCCACCTTTTCTCGAATATTCACGACTGCATAATTTGCATTTTGTGCGCATTATTTGGAATTTTATCCACATGATACCACACTGATAATGTATCAGTTGTATTTGTTTCATTATCATTATTCACCAGTACTATTGAAGTTGTTGGCAATTGTAATTGATTTGTTGTTATGGTGGTGACGGTTGAAGAACTGGAGGATGATAGTAATAATTGATTTGTGGTTGCTGGTATTATAGTTGCCGATGTACTTGTTGAAGGAGCCGAAGGACTACTGTCGAGATCATCGCCGCCATCATCAAGACCAGCTAACGCAGCTGTAACACGTTTGGTAAATTCGTCATTTGGCTTTTGCTTTTGTAGCTTTTGATGTTATTGATTTTGATTTGGTATTGGTACCATTCCCACGTGGGGCCATCGGTTAAAACTACCTGCAGGAAAGAGAGAAATTATGATTTATTAATTAGGTGTCGAGCTATCAAGTGCCGTATTTCTTAACATACGATGCAAAAGTCTTTGCAAACATGTCGAGCATTATTTCTGCATGTTCCTGATGCACTGGCGATTTAATTGTTTTTCCGTTAGAAAGAGCAAAGTCTGAACTTCAAAGAACATAGAAAACAAAATTTTTTGTAATTGAGTTTGAGAGAGAAGAAATCTAAATACGAAACGCCGCCCAACAAGCTCTTGCAACTTCCACTCTCTTGAAATCTATCGCTCTCATCAAAAGTATTTTTTCACTATAGCAGAGTAAGTTTGAAACTATGTAATTATAGAAACTAGAAGTGTTTTTATTGCTCTTTTGAATCGGATGTGATAAATTATCTTTCGATCTGCTTTCAATTAGAAATTCGCGAGTTTTTCATTTGCTTCAGAAAAAGAGTTGATTAGACTTAATTAATAATTTTCATATACTAAATGAACTTTGTCCTCTTGCTAAAACACATCTTCTGAAACAGCATTCAATTCCCTGCAAGGTCACATTAGTCTTAATTTTTACTGACACATCTTGAGCCTTAAATAACAAATTTTCACAATGTCGTGCCTTTCTCATGAAAAGTACAGTTTTCTACCAAATCTGACTTTTGTAACACGTTTCTTTTACTATTAAGAAATTAATGAGAAATTCTCGACAGTAGATGGATCAATACAGTTTTGCGCAGGCGACATTCTCATCTATATAGTTTTCAAAAAAAATTTCTCCTCAGGTTGCAGTGAAAAATTAAAGAAAAAAGTGCTTTGCAAGAGCATTTTAGGCGACGTTTGATATTTATTTTTTTTCTCACTCAAACTTAAATACAAAAAATTTTGTTTTCTATGTTCTTTGAAGTTCAGACTTTGCTCTTTCTAACGGAAAAACAATTAAATCGCCAGTGCATCAGAAACATGCAGAAATAATGCTCGACATGTTTGCAAAGACTTTTGCATCGTATGTTAGTTTGCTTAGAATGAGTTAAATCGGGCCTACCGGGCAGATCAACGAGGTTGCTGCCTTTAAAAAATACGATGAAGGGTCCTTTTCTGTGCCTCTATTGGGTTTTGGCTATTTCTTCGAGATCTTAGCCCTTGGTACACTTACCGTTCGGAGATCACTAAGTTAAATATACAATACAATGATAAGCTTGACTCGTAATAACTATATGGATAATCTAAAATATGAAAAAAGAAAAGAAAGTGGTTAGAAGAAGAAGATAACACAACAACAACAGATGTGAAGATAACACACCAAAAGCGAATCTATCATCTAACATTAGAGGATAGTTCAACACTTTTGAGAATAAGGTGTGGCATTACGACAACAAGAGCATTACGCAATTATTATTGAATCTGAATGTAAACAAGTGAGAATAGCCTACATGAAAGAAGAAAAACACAGAATAAACAACAACAAACAATAGGATAAACTGAGGCAAGTAAGAGAAGGCAGCAATAATGGGAAAAGCACAGGGTGGAAAACTAAAAAAATCATGAGAGTAAGTAGTTTTGCTCGCAACAATCTTTTTCTCTAACTTTAGTGGAAGCACCTGGCAAGAAAAATGAGAAGTCTAATGACACACAAACAGTTTTGAACTTTGAATCACAAGCACAGAACAAATTCTATAATAACGCATAGCAAATTGTCGATGCAATGGTATGGGACTCTCTCGTCAGAAAAGCTAATAAACTTCTCATGGCTCACGCCGTTATTTTTTACAGTGCAGATGCAAGGCATGCTGAACTACTACGCTGTTATAGTACGGAAACAGCCTATAGGACTACACATAATAAGTACAGACAAGAGCATTTTTCTCTTCCGCACGAAGACTGGCTCGAAAAAGAAATAAACATTCTTAAGCAGCCAATTATAATAAACACGAGAAGAAATAAGGTATTCAAAAAACAAACTAAATTTTAGTCAGTTTTCAGCCATTACTTGATTTTTGGCCTCTATATATGCTTTCATTTTTCTATTGGTCAGCCGTACAAGAAATGGTGTTTTTGAATTTATGAAAAACAAGATGCCATTTTCTGGAAAATTGTTGTATTTCTAGGAACCTGTTAATTTTTCAGAAACTGGGCGATTTTATGGAAAATCAGGCAATAGCTTGAGAAATTTTTATAGAAAATTCTTGAAGATATTTTCCTCTCTACAAAATCGATACTTCAGAAAATCGAATGCATTTTCTATACGATATAAAACCCGGATTGTTAATGTACTGAAAAATCCTCAACAATTCTGTACTAGTCCGAATAACTACGACGATACTGATATGCTCTTTTATTTCATTTTAACTGAATTATTCTGGGAAAACTAAAATAAGTAACGCTTAGTTACCTAACTTTATACGCTACATGAAGTTTTCACTTTTAGTGATTAAAAGTATCAAAAAAGTTACCATACAAAATATCTACTACAAAAAAATGTCTTTCGACATTACGTCCAGTACATATTTCACCAAAGAAATCTTCTATACAGAACAAAAAAATAGTCTAGAAAAAGTCTCGGAAAGTTTTGCTACCGGCACTTTTGTATCGAAACTATTCGAGACCGAAACTTTCGAGACTCGAGACTAAAGTTTCGGGTATCGAGTACCCCGTCTCGGTGCATCCCTAGTAACAAGTTAAAAAGAGATACGACAGATGAATACAGTAATGATGACTAGATTCAATACAGAATACAATTGAACATAATTACCATAAACGAGAGAAAACATTTTAAATAATATATACTACATTGAACAAGAAATGTATATTATGCCTCAAACTGTATCTTCGGTATCGGGGTTCGACCTGACTTTCGTTTTTGTTTTACCTGAGTGCCATCGGCATCGTCAGTTGTAGTTTGATCATCTGCATATTTTCTCTTAATTACCTTTGTTGTTTGTGATGCCGATGATCCTTGTTTATTTTTCCTTGATTTTGATGCATTTGCTATATAAAACTCATCGACAGCTAAACAGAAAAAAAGTTGAAAAAGAGTTTTACAAAACCTAAGTAACAGCAATACGTTCACATGCACTTACACGTCCAGATAGATTTGTCCTAACTTTTTCCTTTAGACGAATAATAGCTTTATCATCATATCGCACGTATTGATTATAATGTGAGTTAAACTTCAAAATTTCTTCAAAATCGTCTGTCAGTCCATGTGACGTCGTTTTAGTAAATGCATTGGTTTTAGGTATGATCGGTAAATTCATCTCTTGGTCATATTGAATTATCTGCCCAAAATTAAACGATTTTAAATAACTCTCCGAGCTGACGCCATTTGCCTCCAAACAATCATTAAATTCCATCCATTCGACTCCAGTACTGGCAGGTGCAAAACACTTCATATAGCCTACTGTTTTATTCAGCTGATCATCACCCGTTGCTTTGTTTGTATGTGCAAAATATAAACCAGACGAAATTAACTTCTCGTCAAGTAGCTTGCTGATTGCTAAATCTCTATTTTTATTATAATGTGATGTGGTTTTGGAAATGTCACTTTTCATCATAACACATGAATGATGTAATAAGATTTTAGACAACATTTTATGATCGTAGCATCACTGAACGACGAAAAACTAATGATGGTATTTTTTAATCGAAATTTCTTGTCGACATAATGTCCCGTTAAGACTAAATAAGATACGTTACGAGCATCTGACCAGAAATCAGACGTAACTTCAAGAAAATCAACTGATCTCAATTGTTGTTTCAATTTTTGAGCTTGCTGATTGCTAAATCTCTATTTTTATTATAATGTGATGTGGTTTTGGAAATGTCACTTTTCATCATAACACATGAATGATGTAATAAGATTTTACACAAATTTATGATCATTTATGATCGTAGCATCATTTGTTGATGCCTGCGAATCAGTTATCGCATCTAGAAATATAAACAGAAAACAACGCTGGCAATATGTTCCATTATTACCAATTCCAATAACAACATACCTTCTGAATTGTACTTTTAGCAGCTTGAGTATTCAACTTTTAATGTATAAATTCATACCTTAAAAGATGAATACTTAAGCTGCTAAAACTACAATTCAGACATTTGTTGTAAAAGTCCTGCCATTAACGTCTAAATAATATACCTTGTTTTTTATTATTTGTTACTCTGTTCAATTCGGCCATGGTTCTGCAAGAAGTATTGTCGTCATTTAATCCTGTTATTAAATTAGTAATATCCATCAGTATACCAGTGATGTCACTTACAGAATTAGCCTTTGGATCATCATCGAAACCTAAAGTGAATATTAAATCTTAGCAAATCCTAAAATATATCTTTCGTTATAATCTATATTGATATTAACAATTCTAACCTAGATCACGATGTGACATTTCATCAGGTCGTTGTACATTTTGTGTATCCATTGAATCTGCGCATGCATTCTTGCTCGTATCATGATTATTCGTATATGATTGTTTATCTAGCACGAATGATGACGAGTGTAGAACAATGTTGTTATCATTGCAATGGTTTCCCGTTGTATGATTGCTTGGTGTTACCGCTATTGCAGTTATTGGTGTTGTAGACGGATTATTTGTTGGTAGTGATGCTACATTGCTTGTAGATGATGATAATGTCTGGAGTGCAATATCTCTCGAATCTAATGACGATGGTTGTAGTGACAAATGTGTCGACTGTATAGCTGATTGAACATTACTCAATTGTGATTGTATCGGTAATAGTTGTAATAATGATGATGAACTGGCCGCCGTTTTATGAGTCCAATTTAGTGACTTAGATATGTCTTTGAGTTTATATTCTTTCTTACCATTTTCGAGTATTTCTTCGATTGCACCATCTTTGATCAATTCATCAATTCCTTCTTTCAAGTACGGTAAATCGTGATATTTATGATATTCTTTGATATAAATTGGGTAATTTAATAAGTGTTGACAACACATAGTTGATAATGTGCTTGTAGGTGGTCTTGATGATTGTGAATATATATCTTCATATTCTTTTAATTGTACAGCATAAACATTCAATGTCTTCTCGAGTTGGTCACGTTCGTTTTGATCGTCTGGTGGTGGAATTTTTCTGTAAGCTTTGCTTACTTTGATTATCCATTTGTCTTCAAAAATCAATCTAAAACAAAAAATGACATAGATCACACTTTGATTAAAGCCAACTTGTTCAAAAAACTTGAATGAGTATGCTAAAGTTGCAATTGTAGCAGCTGCTGTTATAATTGGAATTATATTACGTTTTCTGTGCTTAAATCGCTTTAAGTATGTTATGGACAAAGCTTCTTAAGTACAATTGAAGCCGAATACAGTTATTTCAAACGAGGAATTCACTTTTTCTAGACTATACTCAAACATTAAATTTTGGCTTAACGAGCTCAATCTTTTGTTTACATTTTACCAGGTTAGTAACATTTTATCGTTTTCGGCTACATTAACACCGAATAAGTGGTGGAATTCTAGCACATACATAGAATACGATACGTACTTATCCTTCACTAACACAGCCAGTGCGTCATCGACAACTGTTGATGGCAAATTGTGAAACAGCCCACCGTTTTTTGTTAACGTTGCTCTCGTAAATATATTATATGGTATCATTAATATTTTTCGACCATCTTGTTGTCGTTCCGTGGACTGATATGTACTTGTATTTAAAATCAATGTTGTACTTGCTGGTTTTTGTACTGGTTTAGGCATATCGAACAATTGTAATACGACACCAAATAAATATTCATAGACCGACCACGCTTTTATACAAATATTTTTTTCAAAGTATAATATTAGCATACCACTTTCATTTTTTTTTATATTGGCACCGAAAAACAAGTCAGTAATTGCTGTTCGTGCAGCTCTCACGAACTCCTGTGATATTTGTTTGTTTGAATTGTCACCATCATCGAAAATTATCAATTGTTGATTGATTTTTTGTAAGACTTTTGTAATATTTACAAATAGTTGTATTAATGCACAATATTTTGGGTAAATTTCGACAGTTTTTGCATAAAATGCTTCGATATGCAGTGGTATTGTTTTATCCGATTCAATAGCATCCAAATGATCAGCTATTTTACTGAATGTATAGGCATAGGCTGAATCACAAAAATCGTCTAATTGTTCGTCCGATAGCTGTTTCGTTACACTAGTTCTTGTTGATGGCGACAATAATTTAACCAGATCAACTGTTGTGCTTGAGTGCGTTGCTTTGACTGTTATTGCTGCTGATGGCGATTGAATCGGACGAGTATTGTCGATTCCTAATAATGTCGGCAACACGAAATCTGAAAATAAAATATATAAATAGATAAATGAGAAAAAAGCTCAAACCTGTACACTTCATGTTTAGTTACCTGTGCCCGTAAATCGATATTCTATGTCCCCAAATAAATGGCACACGGTCAACACGTGTGCAATAGACGGTGCATTTTCAACTTTCACTCGATATTACATCTGCTCGGATCTTGTAGCTTTGACACGGGGCAGTGCCATGTAACAAAATCGATTATGTACACCTTCCAGACGATTTTGACATGACCATTGTTTCATTAGTAAAGGATATCGATTACCGGTTGTGTATCCAAGTATCGCCAATTTCGCTTTCGTTATGTCGACGGCCGTTTGTGCTGTTGTACGCGTATCGCCGATAATTCGATCAAATGCTTTAATTAACAATGTGGCCTCCTCGGTTTTACCATCGTCCTCATATACGCCTAATTTGGAAAATGCTGGGTCAATTTCATCGCTTAACATAAATTGATCGCCTTTGCTCAGATGCATACGTAGCGATAATCCATTCAAATTTGATATTATTGAAGGTATTTGTTTATCTTCACCATCGAATTCCATTTCATATTTGTACTTATCGCTGAGTACATTAACAACTTTGTCGCAGGATTCTCGTATCGGTTTAAGGTTTGTCGTCTTAGATGGACCTGTGATAAATTAGAAATAGAAACCAAATCGATAGTTTGTCAAACAAAACTATCGTTTCTTACCTGTCTGACCGATAATAACTGAATAAATATTAATTGGTTTCATTTGATGAAACATATTTGTATAAAATGAATTTTGTCCAAAATGACTTAATGATGTTAAAAGACTAAAAAATGCCATCGGCAACGGTGAGCCATTCAGTAATTTGTAATGACGAAAAATCATCAATTCATAGTCGGACAATATTGTTGACAGATCAAAGGATGCTTGTGATGCCTTCCACAGATTCTGACTGAATAATTCACCAAACGTATTTATCGTTTTACTCGCCATAACGTGTGGAGAAGGGCGAAATCTAGAAGATAAAAGAACGAATGAAGGGGGCGCACTAAATGAAAAATGAGGCAATGATCATAAAAGAACAAGATAACATTCATTTAATAGTATTTCTTCTACAAATTTTAAGCAGAGTGCAAGTGTACACTTGTATTGCCTCGAAAAGGATGAAAGACCAAAGCAACAGCTTAATAGTATAACAACAGCTATGGGTTACCTTCGATAGGGCTGATGCTGCTGTAGTCGCCAACTTCCCACAGACAACGTCCACAAATAACAGCCTGGTCAGTGTCATCTGCAGAGTTGGAACCGGTTGAATTTTTCCTAACCGGACCGTCCGGTTTATCGGCCGATTTAATGCGTAGTTCAACCAGTAAAAAACCGGTCGATTCCATAGCAGATTAAAGTCCGAATTTTGTGAAAAACCGATTTTTTGCAGAAAGCTGAGAAGTGAACGTAACTGCAAATGGTGAGGAAATTGAGGCTGATTATGCCTTTTTTATAGGCAAATGTTTATCCGAAAAAATGCTACTGTATGTGGACAGTTGTGTTTTTCATACAGAAGTAATAAACGTATGAGCATCGAACAATCATTTTTTAATGAAGAAAAATTCGCGGACTAATTTCTGATGATGTATGAAACTCAATAGAAAAAGAATATCGATTAATCAATCACGCTTTAATGAAGAAAAAAATTTTTTTTCTGCTACGTTTTCATGAAGACGGAAATTTTTCCGGACGAATGTTTTCGAAATGGAAAAGAAAATAATGGGAGAAAATTTTCACTGGTGTTCATCTATATCCGAAATACGCTAGTGATAGGACAAATGTAAAATGAATTAACAGATCATTTTTGTGATCTACTGCCTTTTGCCATCTTCATTGGGGCGATTCGAGTTGACATCTCTAACTTTTGTTCTACAGTATTCATATTTCGCTTGTGATTCGAAACCGACAGCAACCGGTCGGGTGAAGTGTGGCTAAACTGGTAAAAAAACCGACGTTAACCGGCCGGTGGAAAAGTTCAGTCGGACCGGTAACCGGTCGGTTTGGTTCCAACTCTGCTATCAATTAGCAATAAACATTTATCAGTTGCCCTTGACAAAAACTTTTTGCAAGTCTGATAAGAATCTTACTGGATTCTTATCAAATTCTTGTGTAAGACTACGCAGGAAAGTGAATGGAGTTTGATAAGAGTCTTACAAGAATCTGATAAGAAAGTCCCAAGAATTTCATAAGAAAGTAATAAGAAGTTCTTATCTGTTTCTTATAGACGTGTTACAAAATGCTTATTCTTACCGAATTTTGATAAGAAGCTTCTAAAATATTTTGTTCTTGCAAGACTTTTCAGAAGAGTTATTTTTAAATTATTCTGGACAACTAGCAATTTAACGATTCTTTTTTACTCAGAGAAACAGTAAGAAACTCAGTGTTTGGCTATGAAACAAAGTCGTTGTGCTTTCGAGAGTTCTCTGTCTTTAGTTGTCGATATACCCAGACTGTATTCATTTTATTTCTCTTCCTAATTATTTTATAAAATAAAGAAGAGAAACAAAATGAATACAGTATTATCAACCTTCCTGAACAGAACTGGATATACCCAGACGAACTAAAAATCTAAAACTGGTTAATCAAAATGTAATGGCGAGATGACCTTTCATTATCACAATTCGTAATAGCTCAGTGTACGACAATCAAACTAATCGCGTATGGGCAGTAAATCATGCTGAAGCTACTGAAAAGGGTGAGGTTGCAACAGAAACGTCAATTTTCAACAAAAGTTATGGTTTGGTTAGATGCCTGTTCTGAAGGACGAACATCATTGGTTATTTTGGATAAAGGACCTTCAATCATGCCAGATATATCAACAAAGTTCATCATGCAGCACGAAAATGTGAAATAAGATGCTAGGCAGTGATTGGACATTTCAGCAAGATGGTGTGAGGCCTTATACTGATGCTTTAAGACAACAATGGTGTCGTGACAATTTACCATCGTTAATAGCAAAAGATCAATGGCCAAGCAATAGCCTGGATTATGAATTATGATTAGGATTATGAATTATGTCGAATTCATTATCAAGATTTTACCATGATCCCGGATCTCTACACCAATTACTTCCACGTAGTTTTGTTGCATTTTTCAGAAACTATCGATTACACTAAGAACAGCTTGTGATTTTTACTTCTTTTTATCAAAACGATTCTCAAGTTGCGGACTACCATTTGGCTATTTTCGATAAAAATTACTTTTAGTTTTAGCTGAGATACACGAGATTCAACCTCACAGGACAGAGAAAGATCAAAGTGTCTGTAACAACATTATTTTGATTTATTTGCATAGAAAATTGCAGTAAACCATTAATCCATTTACATATTTTGAGAAACTTAGTCTTCTACTTCAATTTATTCATAAGAAAAAGAGTTAGAACTCATTGAGTCTTTAGAAAAAAATTCATGTTTCAACGACAGACGGTGCTAAAAATCCCCACCTGCAACAATGCAACCCTTATATCTCGGCGACAAAAGCAGCTAGAGTGTTATCCTTTTTAACGGTAGTGAGCTAAGGCTAGACAAATAAAACAAAAGAAAATTAAAGAAAGTCTATTTAGTACAAGAAAAGTTAATGCAATTTTATTTCTTGGATATCGACGGTACAATACCAGCGCAAATCGCACATATGACTCTTACCAAGTTCGTATATACGGTTCAGCTACGACTGTGTTAATTATTCTTATGAGATTCTTATATGATTCCTATAAATAGTTTATACGATTCTGAGTGTAAACAGGAAAGCTCTAATAGAAGAGAATTACTCACAATTGAATCACACGCACATTCCGTGTTGGCTCCTTTTAGTCGAAAATAAGTTCCAGCACTAAGTGCTCCATTCCTGATCTTACTTTTTTATTGGCAAAAATATTAAACGAAAGGAAAAGAACGATAATGATATCGCACTAAGTTTTTAAAGCTCTATAAAACTTCTGAAATTACAAAACCAAGTACAATAGAAAATTGATAATTGTCGATAAAAAGATAAATAACGAAAGTTTCCTTTTAAAGGAAACTTGTATGGAGCAATGACATATGTTTTTTTCTATTAAATGACAGATATCAGAAAAGATAAGCCCGTCATATGGGACTCGCTCCATTTGTATAGTCTGGTACCATCGCCTACAGTTGTTTTTCTATCACATTAAAGGCACGTAAAAACGATAAATCTGTCATCAGCGAATTTTTCTATATAGGCAATTACAAATGTTTTTTTATATAAAAAAAAAATTGTTTTGGAACGATAAATCTGTCATCATAAGTGGCTAGGTTAGACATTATCTTTTTCATTTTAAATTTCATATATAGTTATTCACACTCAGAGTCATTTAGATAGTCATATTCGAGCTTTTAAGCGGATTCTCAGCTAACAACAATGGGTCCGAAGACTACTAATGAAACCAGCAATCATATTTTAGAAAATCAATTAAATTTTCACACACATTGGTATCAATATGCTTTAATTATTGTGTGTTCATTTGGTATTATTAGTCATACACTCAGTATAATTTTATTTACAAGAAAATCATTAAGAAAAAATTCCTGTGTTATATATTTTTTAGCCGCATCAATACTCAATTGTTTATTAATGACTGGTACTTTAATGAACAAGTTCTTCACATTAGGCTTCAATATCGATACTCGTAACACATATCTCTTATGGTGGTGTAAATCCACATATTACTTAACATCTGTTGCTTATTCATCATCACAATATTTTATTACGTTAGCTTCATTTGATCGTTTCGCTTGCAGTTCTCAAAATGTAAAATACAGAAGACTTTCTCAATTAAAAATAGCCTATCGTCTTATAGCACTGGTTTTAAGTTATAGTGTTTTAATCAATATTCATATTCCAGTATTTTTTAAAATTGACCATCAAGGATGTTATGCAAGAAATGGAGCATATCATCTATTTTATGAAATTTACGTTTTGTTCGTACAGAGTTTATGTCCTGCACTATCAATATGTATATTCGGACTTTTGACGGTTTATAATATGCGTCGACAAACAGTTGTTCCTTCTAATAATAACAGTCATCAGACAAACGCTAAAAAATTTCTACTAATGACACTTACACAAATTCTATTTACCAGTATTTTAACGGTACCACATTCAATACAACAACTTTTTATTATATTTAGAAATTATGAGAATAAATATATAACAGATGATGTTGAATTACAGCGGGAATCTTTAATTTCAAATATTGCTTTTCTATTATACTGGATAAACGCTAGTGCAGGTTTTTATATCTATTCATTAACATCACGAACATTTCGACTAGAACTTGTACAAATCATAAATGAGTTTCTAAATTACATTTGTTATAGAAAACTTGACTGTTGCAAACGATCACTGACAGTACTGGCCGAAAGGTGGTGCTGCTGCTCAACAAGACCGACAATAATGACTTAAAAATGAATAGTACCTTGAAGCAAAGTTTTTTCGTGTAATTTTATTCTATAAATTGAATAAAAAAATGTTGAACACTGTATGTGGAGCAAGAAAACATCATACCACTACTTTTTGGTCGTGTATAAACAACGAAGTTGTACCCTTGAAAATTTTTAAACTGAGTAATCGCCAATATATCGCCATAAAGGCGTTGACAATGGTACATATCGCAATAAATTCTACGTGGCAATCTATCAGACAGTTCTGATAGCTCGTGATGTGAGTTAATACCGCGTTGTCTCTATGATATATCACGATGCAAAACAATGTTTCGTACGGCCGATATCAATATTTATCGAACATTGCGATATCGTTTCGTATTGCGCTATGATTGAAGGTCCTTTATCCAAAATAATCAATGATGTTCGTCCTTCAGAACAGGCATCTAACCAAACCATAACTTTTGTTGAAAATTGACGTTTCTGTTGCAACCTCACCCTTTTCAGTAGCTTCAGCATGATTTACTGCCTATATACGATTAGTTTGATTGTCGTACAAACCATTCATATCGAACATTTTTTCATCCGAAAATAACCATTTTTTTGAATCATCTTGTTTTAAATTTCTTCGAACCCATTTGGCAAAGTTTTTTTCTGCTCAATTTCTGTTGGTCCGTAAGCGCTGGTTCTTCGTTTATCTTGTACGCCCGACATCTAAGCTCTTTAATGGGTAATAATTCGAATAGAAACGGAATTGTTTTTACAGGAGCTTTAAATTTATTGATCAAAATGACCTTCGTTTTATTTTGAAGGCAACGTTTCGAAAATTCAACTCTCATTTTCAAGACAAATAAACAAAGTAAATTCTGAGCAAAATTATAGAAAAAAGAAAATATAGGTCGGCGACTGGCTCACAGCCAGCTAGGATCTATCGCTTACCTAAGCTTTACACAAACAAGGAGTGCCATTGCGTCCTATTCTCTCAGCATCAGGAATATTTAATTATGGTGTAGCCAAATTTCTGATTAAAAGATTACAGCCTCTTCGAAAACATCATGCAATAATTGAAGATATATTTTCGTTTCTTGATGAATTGCATTCCATTTCTCTTTCTCTTGATTCATCTCGATTATATATGGTATCATTCGATGTGGCCAGTCTCTTCACGAAAGTATCCTTACAATTTACAATTGATCTTATTCTCTATGAGCTATATGGACCACAACATCATGTATTGAGAATAAATGAAACAGAGATTCATATTGCCAAAAATATAAAGATAAAACGGATATGAAATGGTTATCAGATACACATTTTCTCTTCAATGGAAATTTATATATTCAATACAACGGTGTCACAATGAGTCCACCAATAGGTCCATTACTGGCCGCGACAGTTTGGTCTTAGAAAGAACTGCTCGACAGCGGATGCATTACTTTTTCTTACACATAATATATTTAGAAATCTGCATGATGGAATCGATTCCATCGATGGTTATGTTTGATATTGAGAAAGCCTTCGATCGGGTGCACTTTCAAATACTCCTATCAAAACTTTCAGCTTTGGGAGTGAAAGGTGCATCCTATCGATGCTTCGAAAGTTATCTGTCAGAGAGGAGGCAACGAGTGAAGGTGGGCTCATCGTATTCAGAAACGGAAAACCGCAAGTCTCTATCCTTGTTAGAAAAAAATTATCACCATTTTACCCACGCAGCGAGAAAATGCATTTTCTGGCGAATTCGGCCTAACTTGTAGAACGCCTCCTGGCCACATTCCGTAACTTAAAACCTTAACCCTTTACACCCGCCGGTCCCTTCCAAGGGACGTTGATATAATGGATTTATAAAAGGAACGGATCATCAGCCAAAAAGCTAGATTATTACTAATGTAAGACAATTGAGTAGCTTAACGTTTGATTGAAATAAGAAAGAAAAATTTCCATCTTAATATTTTCTATACTTGTAGCCACTAAACCATTTTCTAATTTTGTAGTTGATAGTTTTGGTTGTATGGATGTACTTTATAATGAAATTAAAGAAGAAATTTTCGTAGCATTCTTCTTTGTGTAAAGGCGCTATGAATTCTCTGTCCCTTGGAAGGGACATTCGAGTGTAACGACATAAAAGTGAATTTTTTTATCTTGACATCTTGTTAGCGTGGTTCATTCTGTGATCACTCGCTACACATCTGAAGATGAGTGAATGAAGAAAAAAGATGTAACCAGTACTATTGTGCCGTCGCCGCTAAATGTGAATGCGGTTTTCTCTGATCGATATAAAAAATCCATCTAAGTGCGTTTAAAGTACTGAATAAAATTGAGACGCATCTAAACTACCTTCAGCTTTTTAAAAAGCAACATGCATCCGAACATACTTTTCTCTCATTGAGATAAAAAAGGTCGTTTAGAAGCGCCCTTAGGACCATCTTGATTTGAAAAATCACACGATGTTTTTGGAAAAATTAAAGAAAAAATACGTCTGAACGTTTGTTTCTATCGGAAATTTTTTCAGTGAGTAAAGAATTGAGACTCATACTAGTATATAGGGCAAAAAAGGAAGTTCGGAATAACAATGAAAAAAATACAAAATTCATGCCGTTACACCCGTATGTCCCTTCCAAGGGGCATCATGTATCCACGCAGCAAAGCAACAGCACTTAAGTCCAGATATAACAAGAATGTACCGAAGAACTGTAAGCTTCAATGCAGTAGTTATTTCAGCTGCAGCTATAATAAAAGTGTCTTCGGGCGTAAAGGGTTAAAGCTGGTATCAAATGAAAGAGCGCGACGAGTTCTAATATTTTGATGAAGAAATGTTATGCTAGGCCTCGGGGTCTTAAGTTAGAGATTTCTGAAAAACTCGATTTTCTAGAAACTTTTTATCTAGACTTTTCTAGAAACTGCTTTTGCGTCCTTCTTGTGAATTGGGATTACATCTGCTAACTTAGGATGCACACCGTTTTTGATCGAAATTGTAAACATGATATAATAATCATTCATTTTGTAGATAAACGATGGCTCCCGACATCCATCGGGTAAGAATTGTTTTTACTGTTTTGCATGGATTGCTTATATTATATATGCTATATTATTGTTTATATTATGGTTACATTATATATAGTATATTATTTTCTAGAAAGTCGAGTTTTTCAGAAATCTCTAACTTAAGACCCCGAGGCCTAGCATAACGTTTCTTCATCAAAGTATATAGAACTCGTCGCGCTCTTTCATTTGATACCAGCTTTAAGGTTTTAAGTTACGGAATGTGGCCAGGAGGCGCTCTACAAGTTAGGCCGAATTCGCCAGAAAATGCATTTTCTCGCTGCGTGAGTAAAATGGCGATAATTTTTTTCTAACAAGGATAGAGACGTGCGGTTTTCCGTTTCTGAATACGATGAGCCCACCTTCACTCGTTGCCTCCTCTCTGACAGATAACTTTCGAAGCATCGATAGGGTGCACCTTTCACTCCCAAAGCTGAAAGTTTTGATAGGAGTATTTGAAAGTGCACCCGATCGAAGGCTTTCTCAATATCAAACATAACCATCGATGGAATCGATTCCATCATGCAGATTTCTAAATATATTATGTGTAAGAAAAAGTAATGCATCCGCTGTCGAGCAGTTCTTTCTAAGACCAAACTGTCGCGGCGAGAAAGATTTGTACTTATCAAGATAAGTAAGAAGCTGATCGTATATGAAACGTTCTTACGCTTTACTCAATATCGACAAAAGAGAAACAGGCCTATACTTGTCTATCACTGCTTTTGGGCCCTTCTTGTGAATTGGGATTACATCTGCTAACTTCCAGAAGGAAGGATGCACACCGTTTTTGATCGAAATTGTAAACATGATATAATAACCATTCATTTTGTAGATAAACGATGGCTCCCAACATCCATCGGGTAAGAATTTTTTTTACTGTTTTGCATGGATTGCTTATATTATATATGCTATATTATTGTATTACACAAGAAATTATTTCAATAATTCGAGGATCAACAAATCCATATGCTATTATAATGATCGTTCTCTTTGGTCTTGTTATTGTTTCAATTGCTTTGGCAATCTGTGTTATGTGGTATACAATGAAACTTTTGCTGAAAATTTTTTTTCTGATTAAATTTTTTTTGAAATTAGGCTTGACAATAAAACAATCATCTGGATTTCTGCTATTGTTCTCACATGTGTAATCGTTTTAGCACTTGTTGTTGGTATTATTCGTATTATTAATACGGCATCTCATCCTATTATTACTACGGCATCTCATCCTATTATTACTACAAATTTTTCAGTTTATAATAAATTTTTTAAAAATCATCTGTAGAACGTTTGATTCTAACGCAAATAATTAACGTATAGTTTTATCGATTCAATAAAATATTTCTCACTACAATACAAAATCGAATTACCTTTATTATGACAAACTGACGACGGATAATTGTAATTGAGCAAAAAGTGCTAGACTATTTCAAAATGACAGAAAGGATAAAACGATGTTTAACAAAATATTTATATACAGATATTTAACAGACGTAACACGAGCTTGATGCAAAGTTGTCAATAAAACGTTTTTAGTACATTTACACATTCCATTTTCGCTTCCGATTTTGAATAAGGTGTTTAGTTTTTATCAACTTACACTGCTTGTGATCCAAGCCAAAATCTTTAGACACGGGAATATTTGATGACATTTGCTGGAAAGGAGCCCAAAAAGCTATTAAAATCAATTACTTCAAGTCTAAATGCCCTCGACATGATAGAGAATCAGGCGCTCTTTCGAATGTCATATTTAAAAAATAATTTAATCTCTACAGGACAAAAATAAAGAGTTTACTGTGAAAAAAATATTTCTTAAATTCAGTAACTCTATAACACTAAGGGATTTAGGGCGAAATGATGCCTTTAAATGATCGTCGTGAAGCTACCTTTCCAGAACCGAGGTGTCATCATAGAAAAACGAAAAAAATTCGTTCTCCTCTTACGTCAACATGTGGACCAGCTTTCTCAGTTAAGATGTTCACGAACATTTTCTTTTACCGTCACTATCTGCTTCGCCATAATAATTGACTGCTTTTTTCATAAATTCTGGGTCATATGTACGTAAAAAGACTCCAACATTGTGTCCTGTATAATCATTATCACTGGATTCATTTGTTGTTGGAGGTGTTAAATGAGAAGTATCGTCATGAATATCATCTACTTCATGTTCAGAGTCATGATCCAAAGTTGATTTATGTTCGAATGAATACTATACACATTGTGTAAGTCATTTTATTGTTTTAAAAAAATGTGGTACTATTTCTTGTTCCCTTAGTGATATTCTTGATGGTTAGTGGACTGATAGTGAATAGTCTCTTATTAAATTCGATTAGATTTTAGAAATATTATGTACATTTATCATAGTTATGTCTTTACATAATAATTTCTAGGTATGAGTAAAGAAAATAACAAAAAGAGTGCGAATCACCACCAGTTAATTACTTATTATAGATCAGGACAAGCTAAAGGGTGTTTCATAAGTCTTGACCCGATTTATGTTTTTAATCTAAAATGCTGTAAACATAGTATGTTGTTTAATATAATATCAAGTTTATTGCTATAAATTTCCATGGAAGTCGCACTTATTGTTAGTGAGATATCCAGATCAATGTTTACTATATATGCATTTTTGCAATCATTCCCGTTGTCCGATTTGCATTAAGATCACGTAAACTTAGAATGTTTCTGTAATATTTCATATATTTTAGACTCGTTGAAAATATCTATAAATTTAATTAGTAGTGATGATATATGTTTTATGTGCAGTGTTTTTATAATCTTCAAAAGCAAAAAACTATATATAGTAAACATTGACCTTGATATCTTACTAACAATAACAGCTACTTTTATGGATTTTTATATCAATAAACTTGATTAAACAGCATACAATACAGCATTTTTAGATTATAAAGACATGGAAAAATAATACTTACAAATTGGGACAAGGCTTACGACACACCCTTTATATTCAATCTGCTGTACAACCAAAGAAAGAACATGAAACAATGGCTGAATATATTTGTTCTTTATCCTTTTTTATTTTGTGGATTGATCGTCCAGTTTTTTTCAGATTGAATTATATTTATGGACACTACAGAGACGTACAAGAAAATAAAATTTTCTTGGTTTGTTTCTGCAAAGTACTATACATATAATAGTGACTCAACGAAGTGGATGCAGTTTGATTCACCCGAGTTTTGGACTGCGTATCCTGACCAGAGACTATTATGGACGCAAATCTTCCATCCATTGGTGCTCATGGACTGAAACACTTAAATCCCACGGGCGCCTATGGTGCACAGTTCGGAACTACCAGTGGTAAGCAAAGCTTTTTTAAGTTGCTATCCATTCTAATAGTATATATGTGAATACGCCTGCATCTAGAAGAATAAACATATAATCTCTCTCTATAAGTTTCTTCAGACATTTTTTTGCAAATTTGACACCATATGTCGTGACCTTGTTGTTCTAAATCTGTTTGTGGCTCGTGAAATTTGTCGCGTGTGGCAAGAAGCGTAGAAAGATCAGGTATAGGCAGCTCTTTTCTATTTATTTTACCATTCTGATTCATTGGAAATTGTTTTAATACAATATATATTGATGGACACATATACTGAAGTAGATATCGTTGACAATATTCTCTTATCTCACTTTCTAATTTACTCTCGGTTGTTTCTGCAGCTGATGACAATGACTGTATGTAAGCAATTAAATACTCTTGTTCTGTTGTTTCCTCTGTGAATTTTGTAACAAGACAATTCTGAATTGCATCCGACCTCGATCGCAGAACAACTCTTTCAATTTCCTCTAACTCAATTCGTTGTCCTCTTAATTTGACTTGAAAATCCTGTCTACCAACAAATATAATTTCACCTTTCTCATTTAATTTAACTAAGTCACCTGTCTTGTAATATTTAGCATCGTCGTCGGTAAGATGAGACAACTGCACCAATACTTTTTCAGTTAAATCCGGACGATTTAAATACCTATGAAATAGACCATATCCACCAATGTAAAGCTGACCAACTTGGTTTAGTCCGACTGATTGCAAATATTCGTCCATGATGTGAATCAGAGCTGATCACCTGCATAATTTTTCACCCCTGCGCGATACTGCGCAGGAGTAAAATAAAATTTATCCGCGTTGCAGTTTGCAGGTTACCAAAAAAATCTTTTGTTCTGCACAGGCAGAGGTTGAGGGTGGAAACTTCTGCACTGCCCTGCCCTGCAGGTTGACTGCAGGTGGTCCCTAAGGCGAGGTATAACAATATTTTTTCCTAGTGACCACTATCATTCTGTATTACACGCTGATAATTATAGACTGTATCACCAGTTACGATTCACTATCCTTGTTCTATATTTTTCTCTTTCTGTTATCGTTATAGTCTTT